ATGCATGCATGCATGCATGCATACATACATACCCCACCCATCTGGCTGATTTTCTCCAGCCACTCTGGGCAGCTCCCAACGGAATATTTAAAACACAATAAAACATCAAACATTAAAAACTTCCCTAAACCAGGCTGCCTTCAGGTGTCTTCTAAAAATCAGATAGTTGTTTATTTCTTTGACATCTGATAAGAGGGCGTTCCACAGGGTGGGTGCCACTACCGAGGAGGCCCTCTGCCTGGTTCCCTGTAACTTTGCTTCTTGCATTGAACTTTGCTTCTTGCAGAAGACCCTTGGAGCTGGACCTCAATGTCTGGGTTGAATGAAGGAGATGTTCCTTCAGGTATACTGCAACTATATAGCTGAGCTTTCAGTTATTAGCCCATTATCCAGCCAATTACTGCTGCTAGGCACTGATCCAATACTTCCACTGCTTCATCTGGATTAGATTAAAAAGAAAGAGAGAGTAGGGTGTATTCAGCATACTGATTGGGCCTCGCCCCATATCCCTGGGTGACCTCTCCCTGTTGTTTCTTGTAAATGTTAAAAAAACATTTCAGGAGCCTATAGCATAGATGCCAAAGGGCCAAGTATAGCGCTTCCTTTTGAAATTAGTTCTTTAGAACCATCATATCATTGTGTTCCTATCCCAGGCAACCTATGTGGAAGAATAGGAGGTCAGTGGTATTGAAAGAATGTGGTCAGTGGTATTGAAAGCTGCTAAGAGAACCCAGAGACTTAGCAGAATTGTCCTCCCCACATCCTAAGGGCTGCCATCTTTCTGCCAGGATGCAAAAAACAGAGGGTGGCTACCATTTTACACTCTTTATATGAGATGCAGGGGATTGGGAAATACTGATACATTGCTGTTCTTATTCCAAGTAAATATTGCACATGGTATTGAAAACCCTGCTTGATTTAACTAAGATTCTTAGATCAAGAACCCACTGACATATTAACATATTTTGATCACTTTGATGAAGAATGAAGTCTCAATTTCAGCTTGCCATTATCATTAAGCTTGCCATTATCTTATTTCTTTGTTGTGTGAGGGGACTGGACAGTCCCAGAAGACATGTCCAGTGAAGGTTAGCACAATCAAATATGTTTCTCAGTTGACTTCATTTGATACATTGACCAATGGACACAATGTCCCTGTCTCTTTGGCTTCCAGGATCCATGACAGAAATAGCACAATATGTGGGTAGCGCCACATCTGCTTGCTTTTGGCATCAACCCATGGGCTCTGGCCTTGATCAGGAATGGACTTTCCAATTCACTTACATGAGAGGAGCAGTTCTTCACAAGTCCCTGCTATTGATATGATTGGGCAAAAGTCTTTTATAGAACTCTATAGTGTTCATCTGCATCAGTGTCCCAACAAGATCAGAATTATCGGAGTGTTAACCTTCTCTGATACATACACAATATAGGTTTATTGTTGGATCTTGTAGGGCAGGTCTGAAACATTTATGGTGCTGAAATTTTAGTAATCAAATGGAATTCTGAGGCAGGAGAATAAATATTTAAAGAATCAATAATGGTAAGTCTGTTTTCGAGGAAGATGTCTGTATCTATTCACTCATAATACTTTTATCTTGCCTTTCCCTAAAGTGATTGCTACTTATGCTGGCAACTTGTGCGGAAATATGATTTTAGTGTTTCAGGAAATAAATTACTATTAACTGGGGTGACACAAAGCCATCTGACAATTTGGTTAGATTTGTTTGGTTAGATTTGTAGTCCATTCTGGGTTGTTGTTTTTAAAGCTATGTTTATAGAGTAAATGCAATAGCCACAAATCACCTGACACTCTTCTACTTTTATATTTCAGTAAATAAATAGGGGGGGGGGACATAGCAAAGGTTATGTTTTGGAAAGTGGAAATTGAGACCGCTGGAAAGGATTGGTCTTTTGGTCTGCATAAAGGTAAAGGTAAAGGTACCCCTGCCCGTACCAGCCAGTCTTGACAGACTCTGGGGTTGTGCGCCCATCTCACTCAAGAGGCCGGGGGCCAGCGCTGTCCGGAGACACTTCCGGGTCACGTGGCCAGCGTGACATCGCTGCTCTGGCAAGCCAGAGCCGTACACGGAAATGCCGTTTACCTTCCCGCTAGTAAGCGGTCCCTATTTATCTACTTGCACCCAGAGGTGCTTTCGAACTGCTAGGTTGGCAGGCGCTGGGACTGAGCAACGGGAGCGTACCCCGCCATGGGGATTCGAACCATCGACCTTTCGATCGGCAAGCCCTAGGCGCTGAGGCTTTTACCCACAGCGCCACCCGCGTCCCTTTTGGTCTGCATAAGCTTACCTAAATCAACATCTGGGGCAGGGAGCTGCCTTATCTCCTGCTGTAAGGAGCATATCCCCAAATGTATTAAAGATAACCAATAATGTGTGTTGTGGTCCTTATGTAAGTGGTGGAAGGGTACATTGGCTTAGCTCCAAAGACACATTCGCAGAAGGAGAAGGAAATTCCACTAGCTCAGGGTGGCAATCCCAATGTCCTGATTCCCTCCTCCCTTTACAGCAGGTGTGGTTGACCTGTGGCTCTCCCTATGTTGCTGGACTATAATTCCCATCCTCTCTGACCATTGACCATGCTGCTTGGGGCTGCTGGGAGTTGGAGTCCAGCAACATCTGGTGAGCAACCCCTCCACTTCAGCCTGGGCCTCTGACTGTCATTCTGGAGGGTTCACTTTCTGGAGTTCAGGGAGCCTGTAATGGAGAGGAAAGGCCCAATCATGTGCCAGGAACTTCACTCTCACACCTCAAGAGCCAAGTCTTTGTTCAGTAGTCAACACAAAAATCACAAATAATCTGGTGCTCTTCTACTTTGATGTTTTGGGAAATAAAAGAAAGCTACAGCAAGCTTTACATTTTGGAAACTACTACTACTACTGGGAAAGATAATTCTTTTGGGCTTCATTTTTAAGGATCACATAAGTTTACCTAATTGCTGTCTGTGGCAGTGATTCTTCTGAGAAAAGCAGGAGGCTATACAGGAAATACCCATAAGAGTAACACATAATTATTATTACTAAAAAACCCTTTGACTGGCTTTTTCAAACATTGGTTTAAGAAAGATTACCAAGATGGTCTTAGACATAATTTTAAGGCATCCTTTAATGCTTACTGCTCCAATATTTTATCGGAGGGTTGAATGGCTGTTCAGCAAGATTAAACTACTTCACATTTTGGCTATGTTCCCACTCCATATGGTCACAGTAACGGTGCATGGAGGAATCACCAAAGGGCATTACAGAGTCCTGTTTCTATCTCCATTCACACTAGGCTACTACAAAGAGCAAGAGGTCTCTGTGTGTGGAGATCAGAGGATGTAATATCTTAACAATGCCATAAAGTGATAAGCAAAGTTATGCTTGCACCTGACAAAGTTGACAGCATTAGTAGATACAAAGTGGTTTCAAGAACTGCTAGGAGTAGCCAAGTTAATCCCTTGCAGCAAAAGAAGCATGCTTTGTGGCACCTCAAAGACCAATAAAAGTTTCATTAATTAACTACAGTCCACTTCAAGGTGATGACACATTGTGCTATATTTCATAGAATCATAGAGTTGGAAAGGACCCTAAGGGTCATCTAACCCAACCCCATGCAATGCAGGAATCTCAACTAAAGAATCCTTGACAGGTGGTCATCCAATCTCTGACTCTATGTGAATCAGGAGAAGCTTTGAAGGTATTGGACCAGGGTATGGAGACTGATAAGACAGAGATGGGGGGGGCAGATTTTGTGTCCAGAAATAAGGGGAACAATTGGTGCTAGAAAGGCTGGTACTTGCCTTGAAAGAACAGGTATGTAGCTACTTGATTTAAGGTGTCATTGGAGGCCCAGCTGACATCTATGCAAAGGAGTACTCTAGGCGGAGTGCTAGGTTGCTTGTTGAGGAACAGAATCTCTTGCCTTGACTACCCCATCTCTTTATAACACAATTGCAGAGTGTGTGTCCTTGTTGGATCAAGGGCTTCACTTAAGTAGCCCTATGACCTGCTGTGCCTTGGCATATCAACTCCTTTGAGTAGTTATGTGTATTACTTGCAGTGCCTTTGAGTAGTTCTTCTGCATATGTACTGTATCACACTGATCTGAGCATTACAGCTTGGGCGGGGGGATCTGAGTTTGGATTCATGATCAATCGGGGGCCAAAACACATTTCATACTTGAAGAGCAGTAGGTTTATAGCAGCCTTCAAATTTGCTGTTATTCATGGCAGAACTGTAATTTTAGTTTACATTTTTGTAATGTTCTAAGCTCTGGTGTATGGCTGCCCTGGGCATCTTTCCGAGGAAGAGCAGAATGAAAATCATCATCATCTTCAAAGGTTGTGCATATATAGGTTTTACAATTTCACTCATCAATTTGTATTTTCACTTGGATTTCTAAATATGCCTAGTTCTGTTGTTGCATATTCGGAGTCACTTCTACAACAGAGGCGTAGCTTGGGAAGTAGTACTTGCATGCCTGTAAGCAATTATCAGTTTTAAAACATATTATGATGTACCCAGTGGCAGTATTGTCATAACTGAAAGTTGATCTGTTTGCATAAGTAAAGGCATAATGAAACCTCCCCACTCAGCAGACCACTGACCTCTACACCTTCTCCAATTCTGTTTGTCAAGTTACACGCCAACTCTCAAAAACTGCTTTATAGGGATCAGGCAGGCCTCTTAAGTTTGTAGGAGGTGTTGAAGAAAATCAAACTCCCTGCTTTATGTTAGCAGAAATTGGGTGCAAGCCCCTGAGTGTAAATGCTCTCTTTATTTTGAAAGTAACCAGTAGCCCACATGTTTACTGTCTCTCTGTTTGTGCCGTTAAAAGATTCCAACACATTTGCAGATTGTTTTTTTAAAAAAATAAAGTACATAAAACTGTCAAGATTATTGCTGTAAAAATGACTTTTGCAGTGCAGGTTCAAATTCCCTTCCAGCAGTTGACAGAAATTGAGTAATATTTCCTTAACGGTTCTATCTTTTGTTTCAGGCATGAACACTAGCAAGAGCGAGAATGTCAAAGAGCCCCCATTGAAACCATCCCGGAGATCCTTGCCATGCCTTGCTCAGAGCCAAACACACCCGCACAGCCTCAGCAAGCATTCCTCATTCCTGCAGCCAAATCGAGTGCAGCCTCAACCTCAGCTAGGGACTGCAGGGACATCAACCGCTACCGTCGATGTAGTGTCAGAACGAGGTGAGCTCTGGCACACTGAGGCCACTGGCATTCTTCCACATCTGTGATACATTCTGAACGTAGCAAACAAAAGGAACGGGGCTGTGTGATATAAACAGTGACCTGAATGTAAAATGTTTATTATGCCTTTCAGCTAAAGTGATGGAAACCTTGGAAAACAATTTACTCAAATTATCTAATACAGAATACAGCGATCCGTTCTTAGGTGAGTTTGCCCTGCTCAGTTATATTCTATTGTGATTGTTCAAAATAATCCCCCTTTCTTTCCACTTTGGACAACCTAGAGCTGAAATGTGAAATTATTAACTTCTGAAAGATTCATTTTAAAGCAGCAGTTGAAATTCCTGTGTGTTGGCCTTTAATTCTTCTCTGGTAATTCAATAAGGTAGGCCAGGGGTGGGGGGCCTCTAGATCACAGGCCAAGCAAGTTGACCCATGTTTTCCCCAAACCACATTCACATCCATAAACCCATTAGCTGATGTCATTCATTACATCTTCTGATGAACACAAGGATGGAGTTAAATCCTGCATTGGCTGTTCCTGCCAGTTCCCACAGAAAACAGCAGTGCACAACCAATCTGAGCAGGATTTAACCATCGCTCACCAGCTGATGAGTGTAGCTTAAATCTTCCTGAATTCTGCAGTAAACCAAGTAAACCTCTTCCTGATTCAGTAAGGTGATTCTATGCCAATCTGTATGGTAGGGATGGGGAACCTTATTTAGACCCATGGACCAGATGTATATCTGCCTCTTGGGCCAAATTTGACATGTGAGTGGGGCTCCCCACTTGTCAATCATGTGATGACATCTGATGAGTGGGAAAGTGGAATTAAACCTTGTGTTGGCTGTTTGTGTCTGCTCCCAGAAGAGATCAGTAATATGCAACCAAGCTGAGCAGAATTTATGCCCCTCTCATCAGCTGATGAGTGGGGGTTAAATCCTGCTGAGTTTGGCAAGATTCTATGCAACCCCCTTTCAGATTCAGGAGCAAGTTTGCACCACAATCCCCTGCTAAAATGGAGGGTCCCCTCCTTCATTTTAATAGATGCATACATTTTGATGTGATGTGATCTCTCACTTAGGTCGTACATATTTAGGTTAAGAACAGAAAATGTGAAGGTTGGATCAACAAAGTTAATCCATTGTGTGTAATTCTGTCCTAAGCATACAGGTGACTCTCCACTTATGTGCGGGTTACATTCCGGGGGCCCGTGCACATAAGTGAAATTGCATAAAATTGGGATTACCCTATAGACACCCTTTAAACACCCTCCTTGCTGTTCTCTCTTCAATCCATACCAAAAAATGCTGTATCTGATAATATCCACAACTAGAATTGAAGCTCTGGGGCTGGCAGGAGGCTGGAGGATGCAGAGGAAAGTGATTGCTGCTGCTGTGCTACCCCACTTATCAGCTGTTAGGTGGAGAGGCTGAGCAGTACGAAGCCCCGCTGTGTCTCTTTGGGGCTTCCTGTGCCCTCATTGTCCTCTTCAGGCTCCAGGTAGGGTCCCCTCATGAGCCTTAGTCTGCCCAGAGCTCTCTTGCTATTTCTGGGTATGAATTGAATCATTTAATGATTTTCCAGTGCTGCTCATATACATGGTCAGAAATGAGTAGAACATGGATCAGTGCGAGGGTTCCTGTACTTAAAATTGCAGCTTCAGACTTTGTAGAGGTATTTTTGTTTTTAAGCTGTAGCCTCTGATCCACAACATTTCCACTATCACAAGACCTATTAAATGGGGCTTGTTCTTCTTGTGAAACCCTCTGGCCACGGAGGTGTTGCATGAAAAAGTCAGAACGACATGACTGCAGTCACTTTTGGAATGCTGACGGGGCTTACATAACCCCTGTGATTAATGACTTTCATTTCTTCAGTGATCTACTACGAACTGCCCCAGGAGGATATTAAAAGATGGATCTGAATTAAGTGTGTGAGATAAATATTTAATCATGAAGCTTCTAGGAAGGACAAATAAAAGGGGAAACGGTACAGCTCTGTACAAAAGAAGGCAAGGAAGCATGGCCACTGAAGCCATTAGTGCAAAAGGCCAAATTCCAGCTGAACTTCGAGCCAACAATACAATAAGATGTAATTGCCATGTTTAGAACGACAAGGTGCTCTGAATGAGTGTGGATAATAACCTTGTCTCATGGTTTGGACGTGTATGGGCAAAAAAATTGTTGATGATAATCTGATGGGTGGAGAATCCTATTGCAGGGAAGCAGTGGCTAAAGATTCATTTCTGGAACGATACGGTTCATCACTGAAAAAATGATTCAGATTTGGTCTGAAGAATCTGTAACCCAGCAAGGCGAATGCAGCTTTCCAGCCACTTATCGTAGCCAGCAAGATATTTGGGGATCCACACACCCAATTTTTGCAACCAAACCCAGGCCAGCAACCCAGACTAGAGGCATATGGCAAGCTGCAGGCATATCTGGTGGTCTGCAGTTGATTTGACTCACAGGTTGCAAAGGCATAATTATGTGCTGCACTGAAAGAATGTGCTACTTGTAAACTTTTCTTTCCTGGTTTGCACATGACGAGACAAAGTTTAAAGGTTCTGTGGTTTGTAACAAAAAGGAGCTTCCCATTATGTCTCATACAGAAACGGGGGTTTGTTGAAGCCACAGTATATTATAGCAGTCTACACTGGGCTACCCTTGATGGTCTGTAAACTGCAGCTATGCAGGGGGAAGGGGAAACTGGCAAAAGTCACCACCCCATTCATTCATTAGAAGGTTTCACCAGATTGCAGTCTTTCCACAACTGGAAGGAGACTTTCTGTTCATGAAATAGACAGTCTGGATCCAGACCTCTGTTTTGAATGTGCAAGTGCTGAAATTTATATATGGCAGAAGTTTCACAGAGAAGAAGTTTTATGTACAAAGACATAAAGCATGTTTCCTCTTTAATAAGAGAAAACACTGTTTACTTTTAGACATGCAATGGAAACACTCCCAACACATCAATCAGTTTGTGGAGTAATCTGTAGAGTCAGCATATTAATTAACCTACATGCCACCTTGAGATTTCAAATAAACTGAAAAAAAAGCTTAGTAAAATTGTGTTTAAAATGTTGACCATGTGCATGAGCATAGGAGGCACTAAACAAGCTTTTCTTGGGGGAATGGCTATGCATAGATAAAATCTGTGAAGAATCTGTGCTTTGGTTTTTAAAGATGACACAGCTGAAATCATCAAAGGAAGCCGAGTAATTAAAGGAAATCAATGTTTGCTTTACTATTTGATGTTCAGAATACGTGTGAACTACTTTTAGTGGATCTCTTCTTTTTTTTAGTTTTAAGAGATAGTAATCTTTGCATCCCAGGCAGTAATGCTTTTTTGTATATGCTATAATTTAATTTTCAAATTCCGTTTTTGTTGGCTCCAGGATCACTGGAATGGTGCAAATGTAACTGCTCCACGGCCGAGAGTTAAAAAAAATGTGCTGTGGATTTGAATGCTCCCTTCTCTACTCCCAGTGAATTCTGCCATGCCTTCCACAAATTGTTGTAACTACTGCATTATATGTGCAATACATCAGCATTAAGAATATTTACCAGGCCTGTAATTAGATAATTAGATTTTGTAACCAGGATTTAAAGTGGATATGAATCCCACAGTTATTACAAACCAGGGAGAACTGGGTGAGAGTATGTGAGGCCATTATAATCAAGTTGGGAGTTTGTTATATCTACATTAGCCAACAAAATAGGAATGCTAGTTTCCTGATGAGATTATAAGTTCTGCTATTTCTAGAACATAATTTGTCTGAAAATTGGTAAATAAGAATCAGTGAGATTCATCCATGAATATGGGTTTAATGCGCACCAGAAACTTCTGCAATAGAATCTGAGAACTTCCTTGCCACTGTAATATCCTAGATTGTAGAATATATTCCTTTAGTAGATTCAGGGACTCCCAGCTCTTTGGCACAGAGATCATTAGTGCTATTTTTAGGATTCTGAAGTTGCCAGCATCTGTGTCACATGCATATTAATAGCCTGCCATGTTCTCTTGCATGCCAGCCGGTGAGTTTGAATTTGGGTACTCCAAAAAACAAAAGAACAAAAAACTGTCTTCTTCAATATTTCACCTTGGTCATGAAATATTACTTATGTACTAAGTTAAACTAAATTATAGATGATGATACTGCATCATTTGGATGGAGTGAAGTGTTGTGTGTGGTCATCTAAGACACAATTAATTCATGAAAGAGTAATTGAAATAAGGGACTCAGTGGAAATCAAATTACTTTTCCAGGCAGCAAAGACGCAGAAGGTGTGAAAATTAATGGCTACTACTGCCCTCGACCTGCCGTCCACCACAAAGAGTTGTGCTGATCTTGTATCTTTACGATGATGTTCCAGTACTTAGAATCAATACATTATTTCGCTAGGATAATGATGAAACTAGCCTAGTGAAAAATTCCATTCTGCCGTTGGAATTCTATGTGAATTAAGTAATCATTCCAGGGTGTCTTCTTAGAAGACTGGCTTAATGAATGGTCTGAAGATGAAACTTACATGATTCACAAATCTACTCCCAAATAATGTGTGTGTTTGTATATGCACAAGGCTGCTTGTAAAGGCAGCTTTCATCTCTGCATCTTAATCATCATATTTATTAGTCATAAAAAAATTCAAAGCTCGCTAAGGGTGAGGGTGGGGAATTTCAAATCATCTCTAAGAGTGGGATAAGGGTTTCACTTCCCTAAAGATTACATAGTAGTTCAACTGCTTAACAAAACAAGGGCCTAAGAAATATCAGCTTGGATTCAGAGTTCCTAATCGTACGATACTGGGAAAAGAGGTGGGAGATTTTGTGACCCATGAAAAGCTACTGTTGGGATCTAAGGCATCGTCTGAAAACAACCCATCAAAATGTCTCTCTCTCTCTCTCTCCCTCCCTCCCTCCCTCCCCACCCCCAAACTGGGTCTTAAGTTTAGTTTGATCCAGTTCTACATCAGTTTATGAACAATTTTTAAAGTCTGCATGGAAAAGTATATGCATTCTCTGTGCATTTCTGTCAGTCTTTTCTTCTTCTTCTTTTACAAGCAATTTCCACAGAATAATGCATTTCTGTATATGCACAAATATCCAGGCTGTGTACAAGTAACTCAAAATTTATACGTATTGAGTGCATTCAGCTTTATGTGGTTGACAACAATTTTTTTAAAAAAAATTAATGTGGCAAAAAGAGAGCAGGCAGTTTGGGGGGGGGGCTTTGGCCTTTTAAAAGGTGAGGGGTTTTTGAGGGGGTTGGGTAGTTTTTGTTTTGATTATGCATTTTGTGGTTTTATATTTTGATTTTATTCTGTAAACCGTCCTAAGACCTCAAGGTATAGGGTGGCATATGAATTCTATTATTATTATTAATAATAATAATAAGAATATCACCCACCATTAGACCCAATGTATTTTTACTATACACAATTTTGGCTTTGTGCACTATCCCCAGAATGTAACCCACTGTATACACTTTCCCTTCATATATGCTTTTTTTGTACACAAATTTTGGTTGGAGAACTGCACCACAAAATTCAGAAAACTGCAAAATTTGAAAGAGTCGTGTTTCAACCTGCATATTGCTGTAGGGAGTGCAAATTAAGTGTGTAGTGAATAAATTGCACCCCTATCCCTACTTGTTTCTGAGTAATGCTTCTTTTGCACATGTTAGATCTGGCTCTGGAGAGCTTAAATTTGGCTATATCATGCCTATCATGTTTTCGAACTGTTTTTGAATTGACAAAATCATGATTTTAAAGCAAAAATATGATTTTTCGCTTCTGCCTTTTGCATATTTACTCAGATGTATTAATGCTGAGTTCAGTGGGATTCACTCCCAAGTAAATATTTGTCTCCCAAATATTTAGCTTTGGAGAAAACTGAAAAACTACCATCCCAGTCACCAAATTTGAAATCAGAGCTGCATTAATTGCAAAATGCCATAATGGAAAATGCCATAATGGCACCCCCATTTTTACCACAATGTACTATTATCTGCATAGGTGTTATTAAAAAATAATAGTCTCTTGTAGTGAATATTAGAAGAAATGTTAATACTGTAGTAAAACAAACAAAAAACCTGGAGAAATCCTGTGTGAGATATTTTTAGTTTTGTATACATTATTGTAAGCATTGGCAGGCAAAGCACTGCAATAATAGCGAACAAAAAGTGTTGACCGTGCTTTTAGAAAGTGTTTGTAGTACTCTCCCAAAAAATCAATGTTTGGCTTTGCTCATTGTCTATTACTTTTGTGGCCTGCAAGCACTGTGCTTTGCTGGCAAAGCAAAACAAAAAACAAAGCAGCTCCTTAAAATTTCTATAGCTATTGAAGATGCTCCCCCATTCTTGGCTTCATTTGATGGCCAGAACACCTGAGAATTATTCATCTCTGAGTGGAGAATGGAATGTGAATCCTCCAGTTGTTCAGCAGCATTCAGCAGGGAGGGCAAGCAGGGTGCTGTTATGTGCCTGGCTTCCCAGTCTGAGCATATTTGCCATTTTCTGAGAGGGCAAGGGCATGGGGTGAGGCGTGGGTACTCAGTGCAGTGCTAGTACGGCAGCAGAGCCAATCCAACGCTCCTGTTGCCCATGCCACACTGAACTCCCCATGCCTTACCCCTTCCCCTTCTGAAAGCTCTTCAGAACTAAGGAAAGAAAAATTGCTTATAGTAAATTTTGGATTTTTCATTACAAATAGGGCACTGGAAGGTGATGGGAACATGTGACAGAGAAATAAAAGGAGGATCATTATGGGAATTGTTCTTGTACCTTTGCTAGAATGTCTCCATAGTCATATCAAATGAGTCCATCTGTTTTTGGTATTTTTCCCCCCTCTCAGACATAGGAAGAGAAAAAGACACATATACAGATGATTCAGAACATGGGAATTATGATTCTCGTACAGATCAGTCTCTGCTTATTAAAAATACGCCTACGAGACAGAAACCAGAGACTCGGACTAAGTCATCATTGAAGGTAATGAATTATAGGATACGGTTCTTGCAATGTATTCTTATTTCTGCTATTGGGGTGGTTTACTTTTAAACATGCATTAGGTAGGTCCATTACAGACAAACGGATTGACCACTGTAATGTAATACTAGAGCTATGAGGATGATAAAGTCTAAGAGAAGTCTTCCAAGTATGAAATGTCAGAATAGATTAAATTAAAGAGCTAGGATTAGTCCATGTGATGTTGTCGTGTTCTCACCAGTGCAACAACTGTTTGTTTAGTGTCTTCTCAGTTTAAGATTTTCAGGGCTATTTAATGAAAGGACAGACAGACAGAAGGGACAAGGGTTTTACATGGTACAGATAATCTTGATTTGTTTAGTCAATGACCCATGGCCAGAAGATGTGATGAATTGTACATCACACATATATGAGTCAACTTTGAGGTTACCCAGTTTCCTGGTTTGGAAGTAATACTATCTGCTTACCTGAGGCAACCAATTCTTCACCTGTGATATCAATCTGACATAAAATCCATTCCATTAATAAAAGGTCCTCTAAGATAAAGGATCATCTGTATTGTAACAGATAAAATATGGCAAGCTGATATTAAGCACAAGTCCCTAAATGATAACATGCATGGCTGTAGCAATGGATCCTTCCATTTTCAAATACCTTCAGTTTATGTATGCAAAGATTGCATGGGGGAAAGTGAATTCATGTCTGTCGGAAGGTTTATGGTGCATTTAGAACCATATGTCAATGGTTGCCATTTGAGGATAGTGTCAAATTTGAAAGTGTGTGAGTGGAACACCCAAATTTCATATGCCTGAAAAACTAGGGAAGGAATTCAGTGTCAAGCTCTTCGGATTATTCTGTCAGCACAAGTATTTATGCTTGCCAGATGGAACCCAGCCCCCTTTCCCCCTCTGTGTGCTGTTCTTGGGGTTCTTCTGAGCCTACAGAGCAGATTTGGGGGAGGAGGAAAGTCCCATTTTGCTATTAGAAGCCCTTCTCTCAGCTGCTAGACCTAGCTTGTCGGATGGTGAGAGGCTTAGCATGTGCTAAGCTATCAGGAGGAAGGGGATAGCTGTGGATGGTGAGAGGACTGAAGTCTCTCCTCTTACCCTCTTTCTCCTGTTTGCCTCTTTGCCATGAATAGTGGTCCCTTACTTCCTGGACCTCATCAGAGTGTGGGCAGGTATCACTGATCTGATTGGCTGCAGGATGATGGGACACATTGCCACCTGCAAAGTTCTCCAGTACAGGGTTAAACTACTTGTGCCTGTGTGGATATTCTCTCTGAAACTGGTTTTTATTCAAAAGTGTGAGTCTGCATTAAAAGTATGCTCAGTGGGTAGAGGGGTGAGACATCTCCATCCCTTTTGGCCCTATTATTAATTCAAAATTGGTCTTCTGAGTAAGAAAAAGAAACATTTTTTCTTTTACCCCATGAAGCAAAATGTGGCTTGAAAGTGGTGACTTTGCTAACAATAATGGCTTAAGCAGATTCTTCCTTCCAACGAAGATGCTGTGGGCCAGTCTTCAGGAAAACGGAAAAACTTTGGAAGTTTGCTGCCATGGCCTAACCCTAACCCATTGCCTCAGGTTTGAATAAGGAAAGAAAAGGCATGATAATGTCAGGTTTGAGATGGAATGGTTTTATAGAAATCATATAATTGTGACTATATATAATTTGTCCACTTGTAATGCATTTAAAATCCAATGCTATAGACCTGTAACTTTCTGTGCCTTCGGCAGGACAATATTCTTTCTTTAAGATTAATAGTACATTGTGCTTTGTTTAAGCTTGCAATATCACAGTTAATTATAATTTTAAATTAAAATATTCTAAATTAAATTTATATATTTGTCAAGAAAAGAAAAGAAAAAGAAAACCCGTGAGGAAAACATATACGTGATTAATTGTCGTATTTAGTTTGTGTCACAAACAGAGGGAAGTTTGTTGTAATCTGTGAGCTTTCTTGACAGACCTTTCAAATGCTTCATTGCAGTTGTAAACCTCTGCCGAAAGGCTGTAACTCCTGCAGCTTGGATTCTTTCAGATGAAAAGTTTCATGAGCTCTGAACGGTGTCTGCATGCTAATGCAAACTATTTAGTTGCTGCCCTCAACAGCAGTGGCCAATTTTCTGTAAAGGGCAGATACCTGGGATTCATTATTCATTGCTGAGTTATTTACCAGTCTTTCTCTTGGGGGCAAATGATGAAGTTCTTAATCCCTTTCATATTGACTTCTGCAGGAAACTTTTCAGCAGTGCGGCAAGCTCAGGGCATTAAAGCTTTTCAAACCTCTTACCCAAAAGATTGGTGTAATTTAAGTTACAGCACTGTAATACTGTGTAAGGATTTCGAGTATAATATCCATGAAAATTGTAAGGGCAGCCAATGAGATAAAACAACATGACTCCTACATGTTACTTCAAGGAAGCAATGTTGATGCTGTGGTTTTCTGCAGTATTCATAAAGTAGCATACATTTCATTGCTTGCTCTGTGAGTTTCTTTGGCTCTTTAATTTCCCTCACTGCCTAATCATACAGTCATGCCAAGTACCTGTTCCCTGCTGGACACGGTCCCTTCAAAGTCTCCAACAGTTGTACTACCTCACCTTGGGTTCCAGTTACTCACTTCTGTTCACTCACCAAAGGATTCTGCCACTAGCCATGGCGATCTTCCCTCCCTTCCTTTACTGTTAACAGGATCCACTCTTCTAGCCTTCCATATTCCTCTAGTGTTCAGAAATAGAAACTGAACCTGTGTAGACTGGGCTTTGGATTTTATTTATTTGATTCCATTTCTGAATTTCTTCCCATAAAATATCTCAAAGCGATTTGACAGTAAAAACATAAACAATTAAAACACATCCCACGTGTGAAAACCTTTCCATATATGCACACAAAAAGAACTTCAGGTGTGAAAACAATTTTGAATCCAAAATAGGATAAAGATCTCCTTTAAAGAAGCTTGTTAAAAAAGGATAGTCTCCAATAGGCTTTTGCTACTGACAACCCCTGCAGGTGAATCCAGAATTTACTGATGCAAAAAGTCCTAAATATCAAATGTCAAACACTTGTGATAAACTGCTGAAACTAGAGATTATTTATTGCCAAGAGCAATGTCACAATTCATCATGGCCTATAACGTTTGCAGTTGTCCGATCTTTGACAGACCGCTGCATAATGACTTCTTGGAAGATGTGTTACTGTGTCAGCAGATTTGGGTATGATTTTCCATCACCACGAATTGCTGTGTTAGAATCACCTGTGGGCATGTATGTTTTCAATTTGTTCAACTCAGAGTAAATGGATGCTGGTTACGTAACCTTCAGGGATGCTAAAGGCACTGGATTAGTATCTCCTAAGAAAAACGTCTGCTGTCCTCTTGTTCAAGTGTGTGAACAAACGTATGGAGTATAACTGGGTTTCTTTTAAAAATGAAGACTTGGTTAAGACTGAACTGTATTTACAGGCATCATTCTTCTCTGCCATTTTTATAGTGGAATTGTGCATTTTATTTTATTTTATTTCATTGTTATTCTGTCGGAAACCAGGATTCCTCTTCATTGGGTGATGAAGGGGAGGACTCCAAACCTGAAGGAAAAAGGCACACAGGGACAGATCCAGAACTGCTGCTGTGAGATGAACCTGCAGGGCCAGCCCAAAGATGTGGCACAGCCACTGCCATTCTCTGACTAAGAGAAACCCCAGGTGGACCTCAGGCTCCCCAGCTCCATCACAGTAGCAGATAAGTGCAGAAGGCTGGTGCCCTTTAAGCAGAGTCAAAGAGAAAAACAACTACCAGACTTTTAGAAGACATCTGAAGGCATCCCTGTTTAGGGAAGCTTTTAATGTTTAACAGACCATTGTATTTTAATTTTTTGTTGGAAGCCACCCAGAGTGGCTGGGGAAACCCAGCCAGATGGGCAGGGTATAAATAGTAATATATTATTATTATTATTATTATTATTATTATTATTATTATTATTAGTTTATTATTTTATTTGGCATCTTGCAGTCCAGATACTGCTAACAATCAGGCCACACCTGTTGCTACTGCTATATATAGTCTCAATTTCCTCTTGTTCCTTGCTGAAGAAAATTCAGAGCTCTATGTTCCCATAGGCCTTGCCTAGCATCTAGGCTGCCCCCTGCCTCACCTTGTCCTACCCCCCTACATGGGCCTTGCTTTACTGCAGGACACCTTTATCCATTGTTAGGAATAATAATATCCATGGTTACTAGAGATGGGCAAGCTCATATTGGATTTACTTGGAAATTATCTGAATATGTCTTCAAAGAACTGGGAAAGCTAAAATATGATTTTTGAGCCAATTGAAGGATTTGGGGAAATGCACTGGCCGATTCCTAACAGCCCCCTTTCCCCCTAGCAACTGTCCTCTGAGGCAGTCTGTCATCCCTCAAAGACTTCTCTTCTTTCACTTACCTCACAAGTGGTAGAAGTGTAAGTGTAACAGTGGTGCACAAGGAGAGGAAAGAAGAGTTTCCCCTACTTCTCACCAAAACATGCTGATTTTAGCAGTGTAGCTGGGCAACTCAAAGTGGTGAACAAGGAGGTAGATATGCAGAGCAAGAAGGTAAGGCTGAGTACCCTTTTTTTTCCATGCTCAGAAGAATTTCATTTGGCAGCCCTGTAAACTTGCCTAAGGGTTGAAGTAAGATTTTTGCTGGGCTTCCAAATCCATCTGACACTCTTAACTACTATACTTAACTGACTCTCAAGTGGAGGTTTTTAAGCAGAAGTTGGAGGACCATCTGCCATGGATGCTTTAGTTGAGATTCCTGCATTGCAGGGGGGTGGATTAGATGACTCTCAAGGTCCCTTCCAACTCTGCAATTCTGTGAAATCTAAAAGGAGCTTCTCTTGATCAGTTTAGATTTGTTACATTGGCCAAATAGGGTTATGCTGTGCATATTCTGGTTCAGGATGTCAATCCAAAACATACATTGTGATTTAAACATTTTAGAGCATTATAAGAAAGGAAAT